TACACAATGGGCTATCTGTGCTCTGCCCCCCCACGGGTACCGAAACCCGGATTCTAGCGTTGTAAGTCCGCAGACTTACCGCTGTGCCACTGAGGGGCGACACGTTAGAAAAAAAATTAAAAATATTGCCATGCGCAATTCTAGTTTTATTTCAGCCCAACTTCAGTCATTTTTGAGCCAAAAGAAATATACATGTATATGTGTGCGAATAGGTTGGTGTTACCTTTGCGCATGCTTATTATTATTATTGCATTTAAAATATAGAGAAGTCCACAACAATAATGCTGAAATAACTACCTTTGGATAACGTCTCTGAATTGCCAATGAGATAATTAATGTTTTCTAGTGTAATGAAATTCCTCAGGGGGCTGTTCAGTAATTCCACCAATGACAGAGCTCCGTCGTGATTGACATCGTTTTCTTCCAAGAAAGTCACTAAGTTTGTAAGAATTTGTCGTTCCTTTGATCTCTGAAAAAAAGATAAAAAATAAATACATAAGTGCCGACTGTAATAAAATAAGATCATTAAAAAATGAATGTGAAGCTCAATGTATCATTCAATTTACCATTTAGTTAAACCAGTTCTGTGTGAGTAAAGAATATCACAAAACATAAAGTAAAATCACATTGAATTGCACGGAAATGTGTAGTGAGATTCAACAACGATACAGGTATAAAAAATACCGCTAATTTATTCACGACGAGGAAATTTGTATTTTACAATAACTACTCATGTGAGTTAAAAATCTACACCACAAGTCCAGGTTATGTATTGAAATGAGTACACAAGTACGTTAAGAAAAGCGCACATTTTTGTATAGAGACATAATATTTTCAGAAAATTCCACCTGTTTGTATACAAAATATTCAGAGAAAACCACGTTTTTATACAGACATGTTCAGAAAACTTCACGTGTTTGTATAGACATAGCATTTTCAGAAGAAAAAATTCATCTATCTATATACAGAGTGTTCAGAGAAATTGACATTTATGTACAGATATGTTGATACGTTCGTTACGAACTTGTTCAGAAAAATCCAATTTTTATATTTAGACATGTTCTACAAAAAAAAAAACTGTCGGCAAAAAAGTTTCTAAGTTTGAGTTCGACTTGTTCGGTCAATATATTTACTATTTTTGTTGGGCTTTCGTCGGCCTTCACAGTTAGATGAAGAACAAAAAGCACATTAAAATTGTGGTTTGAAATATAGCCTTTGCTTAAATCTTGCTTAAATAACAGTTGGTGATAGTTTCGTTCAATAATTGGCGGGAATATATATATATATATATTTATTTACGCAGTTGTGCCTAACGTCACTGTAACGACAAGTCTGAAAATTTTCCTACTTACAGCAACAGAAAATGACTTTCAAAACTTACCCAAATTTCATAGAGAGCCGATCTTCTGCCCATACGAGGAATAGAATTCGCCTGAGATTTGCTGAAGAACTGACCATGAACCATGCACGTAAGCAGGGTCAAACTGATGAATATCGCCGAAGAACCCATCGCCCCAATTAAATATCTATAATTTCGGAAGTAAAAAAGTTGAAAATATGGTCAGTAGATATCGTTAGAAAATGATCGTGAAGATTACGATATTAAAATGTAAATCAATCAATATGTAGTAAACAAAAACAAAAAATAAACTAACTTAATCACGAGTCTTGTGTCTTACATGTAAGCTACAGAAAGATACCACTTTTAAAGATTGCTTCTACAAACCGGCCATCCTGAAGCACACGAACCATTTGATGCAAGATCCAAGCTGCTTAACTTTTAATTATGGCAATTGAATAGGCTGCATAGTGGACAAAGGCGGCCCCATTACCCGGTTATGGACTTTTCGGAATGAGGACAAGTCCCGGTTTACTTGTCGCCTGCTTTCTCTTAATGAGTTAGAGATGCTGGGGAGATTTAAAAATAACAAATTGCACAATTATATAGACAAAACGTTTACAACTAAACATTATGTAACCTGGATTATAACGCGGATCTTTTAAGAAATATGACCCGCTCAATAATTAATGTTACCAGCGATTTATAGTAGTTACGGCACATTTGATCTGATGTGATGTAATGGTGTTTTCTCAAATGCGGGTGTAAATAACCAGATACGTGGAATGCCACTTTATAATAAATAGAAAAAAACAAACACGCTTGTGCTGTGGCAAAAGAAAAATAGTATCATTACTTAGTTACGAAATCTAAAAAACAGTGTAACCGTATTGTATCAGGAAAAATATGTACATTGTTGTTAGTTAGGGTATCTCAAAATAATAGAAACCAATATGTGGAGGTAAAAGCAACAGTGCGAGATATGTTAGAAATAGTATAACTACCGTCTTTAAGAAAAAACATATTGTTGTTAAACACTTATGATATAGTAAAGTCATTGTAACCACTATTGCATAGCTACAACGTATTGAAAGAGTGTGGCAACAATATTTGAGGATGAAGAATCGTTTTGTTGGCATTCAAAGTTTGTAGTGCACACTGAAGAGATTTACTAGTTTCATGTACTAGGCCTGAAGAAGCCACAAAGGCGAAACATTAATTAAAAGTTCTCTTTTAATTATCCGCAGTGTAAAGGTCGTTTTTTTCTAACATTATTATCAAAATGATGGAAAAAAAATAAATGAAAACGTCGTGAACAAACTGCGATATTTTGAAAAACATTACAACCAGAGTGTGTTATTAAAACACCATTTCCATGATTGTTTGTTTGTTTGAAGTTAAGCACAAAGCTACACTGTGCTCTGCTCTACCCACCACGGATATCGAAACCCGGTTTCTAGCGTTGTAAGTCCGCAGACATACCGCTGTGCTACGTGGGGGGGGGGGGGCATTTCCATGAATTTGGTTTTAGCAGTATATTTCAGAATTGTTGTTATTTTAGCGTTGTTGTTCTTTACAGTTGTTAACTTATCTAATTAAAAGCATATGCAACGATTACAGTAATAATGTATCACGTTCACTTGTACAAATGTAGTTTATCTTGGGTGAAACTACTTATGAAAGACTTCATAAAACTGAAGCTTCGGTAATACGATTTCAAACAAGTATAGTATATATGTATAATCTAATTCGTTGTTAGATCCCTCCAGCAGAATAAAGCACAAAAACAAATAATAAATCATGTATCCTATCGCATTTAGCACTAAACAAGAATTTTAAGAGATTTTGATAGGAGAAACTAGGCTACTTATATTATCTTATTCTTGCACAAACATGGGTTTATATTTTCTACGTACCTTGTGTGGACACTCTACACTGTATCTGTTGTACTTATGTTTATAAATAAGGAAGATGATAAAACTGGCTAAAGAAAACCTGTCATCGAAATGTTTCAACTATTTTAGTTCACAGGAGCTACTCGTTTTTATACAGTGGTTTGTAAATGAGATTAGTCAACTGAACCTTGATAATAATTGGTTGTAATCTCAAGAATTAGAATAGATTTAATAAAAGAAGCGTTTATATGTTTATAATGTTCGAAGTTATGGGGGTATCTAATTTAAAGATTGGGTAAACAAAACTGCTGATTACAAGGATAAATCCCCTTATGAACCATGTTATAAGGGTAGTATTAGTTATTAGGTTTAATTAGTGTGAAGGATTAAGGAACAGATAACTATACATTACATTTAAAAAAAAACTGTTATTTTTACATAGTTACAACGAACAAAACAGCTTGTTCAGTTTCTACTTACATAAGACTTTTTAACCTCACATTAATAAAATCTAATTGCTGGTTAACTTTGCAATGGTACTTCCAAATATATATATATATTGTTATATAAAGATTAAGTACACTATAATAAAACGAATGTGGAACCTCACTGCGCTGTTACTGCCCTGATAGCCACGTTCGGGCATGCATATCTGACGACTGTACACTTTCACAATAGCTCCGCAGTGTAGATTGCATTGTAAATGGCTCCGTCGTAAAGTTGTCATGTCTAAAGCATACCGCACCCCAATGATTACTTTCCATACTCCCTCCATTATACGCGGGCTACGGTTTCTCAACATCCGTTTTAACAAAATTATCACACAGAAATCCTTAGCTTTGTCCGGCGACTTGACCGGAATAACATGAAAACCTGCTTAATTCTCTAGTTGATTAGGGTATGCAATAGTCATGGAAGCAACACGTGACTTGTCGCTTTTACAGACGGTGATTATTCTTAATTATGTTGCGTACTTTTTGTCTGGGACACATGAAGGTCTTTTTCCACTTTTTGTATTGGTGGATCCTAACCTGCTACAATACGCATCAATTCGCTTAGCACGACTGGGTTACGACTTATTACAGTCTCTCTTTCTGGATGGTCAAAGTGCACCAAGTTGATCCATATTCTATTGTCTTCTCATATCATTGAGTACAGGGGATATTCCCATCTTAGCATTTCTAAATCCCCGATCTGAATACATTTTTATGATCTGAGTATATGAATATTTTGCGTAGGAAAGGGCTGTGAGATGCCCTTCCCAAAAGCCTCCAATTTTCAGCAGCACCACACTACCTACTGATAGATGCCATTCCACCGTTACTTTATAGGAGCTGTGATTGTCAAGTGATATTCTGATTTGTATATTCAGATTTGTTTCAATATAACGCACTCAACACTCTGTATATCATTACATATCAGCCCCCCCCCAGTGGCACAGCGGTATGTCTGCGGACTTACAACGCTAGAAACCGGTTTTCGATACCCGTGGTGGGCAGAGCACAGATAGCCCATTGT